GCTCTAATGAGCGACTCGGATTAAGCTTGCTGTTTTAACTGAATATATTACATGATGAGTTGAATATTTGAGCAAGCTTGATCTGCATGGAAGCTGTATCTTTAAGTAGATGTGTTCTCGTTAGAATGCATTAGGGCAGTTTCTCTGACAACAAATCTTGATGTATCTCATAAAGTGTTTGATTTGTAACACGAGGCAAATTTTTCTTTTAATTGTCACATCATTGCTGTGATGAAAAAGGCAGAAATGTGGAAGAAATGCGCATCACTACTAATAAAGCCATGGCTCATTGAAGACCTTTTAATAAGGATGAGACTGCCATCCGAAGTCGAGTAATATTACTTGTTGTATTTATTGCTTTGAGTCACTTGACTTTACGAGTGATATTTGCTGTGCTTGGCGTGCAGGGAAATTCGGCTGGGAGAAACTCTGTTGTCATCCATGGCTCACAAGTGTCCTGCGCTGACCCAACTCCAGCTTGATTGCTCTTGGTATTATGCGCCCCCCAATTTCAAGCCATTCAATAACTTGAAGGTAGGAAAATTGACCTTGTTTCAAACCTGCATAAATTCATTGTGAAAGATTTTGGCCAAGATTTCTGTCTGAGACGCGTGGATGCAATGATTGGTTTGATTAGTCTCAATCCCGAATCGTAATCAACCATTCTTGTGCTGGCTGATGAAATTGTTTGTTTGCCCTTTTGATGTTTCATTGAAGTGGCAAAACGGCTTTTTGTTGTTGCAGGTGCTGCACTTTATTGCTTCGGACCACGATAAAATCGAGGTTCTTCTCAAAAGCGCTCTGCCGGACCTCGAGGATCTCTACATCGAGTTCTCAAGAGAGAAANGCCAGACGTAGAACCTGTGTCCGCACCCTGTCTCTTATACACATCTAGATGTGTATAAGAGACAGGTCTTGGAGTGTCAATTTTGAAATGTGACAGTTAACAATATGGTGTAATACATAAGTATTCTAAAAAAGCCTATTGGGGCTGTAGTTGACAATTGTTTGTTTGACAGCTGCATGTTTGTCGCAAATGCAAAGATTTTGCAGAAAAATCTTAAAATGTGATTCTATCCTCTTCAAATTTTTTCCAATTTTTTGGGGAGCCCAATGACTTTGGTGTCTAAATAATTGAGGTGGCACTGTATTAATCTGTGTTCATGACCATAGTATTTTGTGCCAATGTCTTCTGACTACCTATAAATAATTACCATATTATTCAACTGGCAGGCAGTTCATGCTGGGATTTTTTTTCATATGTCAATTAATGCAACTAATTTTTTACCAATAATCACAACAACTGCAATCAATTTCAATTTGTTTTTTAGATCATAAAAATGTTTTTGTCAATATTTTTATTTGAATCTTCGTCTTTTGATTATCATTTGAAATTGAATATCAGGTTACTAAAGAAGAGATAGCGGCAAAGTTTTCCATTGATCACAACTGCATCACCTTGAAGCAGGAGTGTGGCAAGAAGTCTGCCTCTGCCATCATTGTTCTCCCCAGCTGGCTTGAAAGTGATGTGTGAGTTGAGAAAGCCTAATAAACACGTGTAGTTTTGATGTTGTGAAAAACTGCAGCAATTTCCCACTTGCCTCTCTGTCCTGCTAAAACATTGGTGTCATATTTTGGTATGCTGACAAAGATATGACCTCAAAGTATTAATTCTTTACTGAATGCTGAAAAAGACCTCAATTTCCCAATTACCTTTTCTGATGCCATTACTAATTGATATAGCTTGAGTTTGAAAGTAATGCCTTTTTCATTTCTGTCAGAATTTGTAGCATCAGTGAAAGGTTTGAGACATTTGTTACAATATAAGAAGTTTTTCTGTATTAGTGTAGGAAGACTTCAGATTAAGTCCACACCAGCAGTGGATTTCTGGGAAAATGGAGAGGCAGCAAAAGGTTGGCTAGATGTCTCAAAAGGTGCATTTGTTCTGATGTGATGGCTGCAATATCTGCTCCAACTTGCTGTTATTTTCAGTTACAGTTCCAAATGCATGGATTTTAAAGGGTACCAAAATCATATTAATGAATGTTTAGTCCCTTTTTTTATTTCTGCCTACCTATAAAGCCCTTTATTTGCACCTCAACTTTCATTGGCTTCATTGCTGGCCCCACTGCCACATTACATGCTGGATGTATATTGAACCTGTCTTTTTACTTGAATTATGTGGTATTTAGCACTTTATGTTGGACCGCCTATAGGCTTCTTAGCCACTTCTCAAAACTGCAAACAGCAATATTATAGAAGGTAGATAAATTATGAGGCTGATAAAAATGAGTTTAAGGAAGATATAGTTCTATACTAAGAGCTATGGTATTCTTTGTATTGATACCCAAGACACTGATAACAAGGAGGTAAGATTATGTTTCAATATGGCATTGAAAACATTTCTGGAAATTTTTTTAATTCATTTTATTTGATAAAAATATATTTTAATTTAAAGTTTATTGCAAATTGGTACTTCTTTTTCAGAATTTTGTGTGATTACGTTGATGGAGTGTTCTTAGGGAATCAGAGAGCATTACTAAGGCAATCTCATGACTCGGACGCATCACAACCCTCCTCAGAGCACTACAAGCCTCATAAGCTGTCTAGTGAAGAGTTTGACTTGAGCCCTGCATGCAATGGACAGCCTACACTTCATGTCCTCAATGATGACATCTTGCTTCATATTATGAAATATATGAATGTTGCTGAGAAACTGATGCTTGAAGCAGGTAAGTTGCATGAATGAAGCAGCTTATCAGCTCGGGCTGTATGGCAGCAGCTATTTTGATCGATCCATTTATTATTATCATGTGAATTAACTGTAGTTGCTATTAAGGTTATACATTTACGTCCTACATCATTATAGAAAATTTAAATTTGACTAAACAATGATGGAGAGAACGAGGAGCACAATATTTTAAATGCTACTGACAGGTGTATATCCTGTCAGTTTTTAATGATAATTTCCATTTATTTTTTATGCTCTTAGCATTTCTCTTTACATTACTACAATCTATTGAACGTGAATTAATTCCTCACTATAATCACCTGCTTTCTGTTCGGCTGAAGTTTCTTCCAGACGTCGTGCAGTTAAACACAAAGAAGCAAGCTATTACCTATTTATCAATATTCTGCCTTTTTATAAAACTCTGTATATTTCTAGGTTCATTCTTGTTGCAGTGTGTCGACGCTTCCAGTCTCTGGTTTACCGCGAGCTGGGCCAGAATAACGTCATCGACTTCACTGATGATGGCTGCGTCTGGCGAAGTGCTCACTCCAAGCTCCCCATATGTCGCAGGTTGGCTGTTACCGGCTGACCTTGATAGAAGTGATGCAGTGAAGTGAAGGCATCGTATTGTGATCGTATTTTTCACAAAATAGTTGCCCGCGTTCGGCCGTGGGGGCTCGAAGCATTCTGACAGGATTAAAAGTAGCGGCAAACGCCTGGTGACACTTGTAAATATCACAGAATTTGGAATCAAGTGTACATGTACTAGGCTGTGTCATCCATTCTTTCTGAAAAATTTTTGCTCGACACATATATTGCCTTGTTTTGTATTGATATTTTGTGACGGCATAGCCACTTTTGTTTTGCATTCCAGCAAGTCGCCAGCCCAACTCACGCATGACCTCAAGCTATGCACCTATAAGATGCTCATCATGAACGCAAACTACCTCACTACTTTGAGACTCGACGAGTATCGCTGCATCTTAATGTGTGTCGTGAATATCTTCAATGTCGATGGGTCTGGAATTTCCCTGATTCGACGACCATTAATCAATAGTGACGGTGTTATTGGTTGTAAATCATTGATATCTTCTGTAAGATAACTCAATGGTCTGTCGTTTATTTTTGCTTCATTTGAGCAATTATGGTTTCCAAATCTGGGTGCATTATATTATGTCATTTATACTTTGAATGCGAAAAAAGTTATCTATACTATGAAATTTGTTTCATAGGGTATCTGCCGTTATCATAGCATGAATCGCAGTAGAGTATCAAGATTGCAGTTCTGCCACCACCCTTCATTGAACTATCCCATATTTTTTTCTAAAATTCAACAATCTCTCTTCTAGCAAAGTTTGCGAAATTCATTAGCTACATAAAATACTCTACAGTGGTGGTCGAGTTCTGGTTGACATGACATCCGTTTGCTTCTTTGACGCTAATTTTGTAAAGGTTGCTTCAGATAAACTAATGATTGCCATTCCCTTGGGCCTTGTTTCACCCTCATGTAATGTAGCTGACGATATTGAATGGCATTATTCATACAAACTTGTATCTATTTAGCTTTTACATTTTAAGATCTGATGGAAGCGGTGAGCGTCCCTAACAATACGAGGATGTTTATAAAAACATTTCAACAGGGCTATAATTGAAAAAGATCATTCCTTTTAGTTTAATATACATGAAATCTCTCTATTAAAAAATTAGATTTTGTTGGTCAATAAAGTGTACAAAAACTACGCGAGTCGAACCAACAATAATAAAATACAAGACATGTCTGGGTTACTTCTGACGTTCCGCTTACCGGATACAGAACGTACAGTAATCGTAAACTATGGCTATTATAGACACGGAATGTAAACAGGCGGTGTTGCCATATGCTTGGAGAAATTTCTTCTAAAATAAAGTTCTAGATTTCTCATTCACCAAATTTCCATGTCAAGAAAAATTATTTAGTATTGAAGGATAATTAAAAGCATACTGTACTCAGTGTACTGAGTATTTTGTCTGTTCTTTGACAAAATGCTCTTGCACGGCGTAGATTTGATTGCTGAGATTGTGCAAACACCTGTGCAAAGGTGCAATATTTAAATAATTTTGCGCAAAATGCACAGACCTATGACTTTCAAAAAGTCATTATGCGTGGGAAAATTCACTGAAAACATACATCATCCTGAGTGTGGCCCTGGGCCCAATGCCAACCATCAGCATGCAATATCTACACATAGCCTCAGATCAATGAGCTGTGGGTAACTCGGGCTAACAGTAAATCCGCTTTGCGCAACACAGCCACTGCTTTACAGCGCCGGAGCACAACAGGACCTACCGCAACAGGTGGCGCAGGTTAGGTTAGGTTACGAGTAGTTAGGTTAGGAGACGCTAGGACTAGCTGGCCCGGATGCTGCGCTCTGGCCAGTTGTGCTCGTGCTCCGGCCTGTATGCGCTCCGGCCTGTGACTGAACGGCACTGTTGTGGTGGGCGCTTTATGTCAAAAGCCGTGAAGATGCCCGGCTGCGTTACGCTCGGGAAGGTATATGAATCGCACTGTGGACTTGGGCTATGNACGGACATGACGCTGTCTCTTATACACATCTAGATGTGTATAAGAGACAGCCTCAGGGGGGACTTATGACGTGTGTCTGTGCTCGTCAGAAGTCCTATGGGATTTTGCGCTCCTAGGGGTATTGTTCCTGAGCGCCCCACCGCTGAGCTCGCAGTGTCTGACTGCAGGTCTCAGTTGTGGGGTTAAATTATTATGTCAGTAGGATTCCTTACATTTCCCTTCTCTGTCTCTCTCGTGCGGGCAACCGACGTCCCGTGTAAGCGACCTCTTGTTCGAGTGTCTTCGTTTCTGTTGCTTTTCACCTGTCCCTCCTTGTCACTTCGTCTCTTTGAGATGCTAACGCTGCTTCTCTCGAGCCAGCTTCAGCGGGCTGGACATCTGAGACCTTCCGCCCCTTGTGGGTAATGAATAATTGAGACCTTCCACCTCTATGGTGATGTTCATCTTGACTTTCGGTGCAAGATAGCTAAGTAGCTGAAGCGCTAGTAAACATTTGGCCACTAAACTAAACTCAATCTGGACTTTGGTTTCTCAGCCTCTACCCTAGCTTCTCAAAATGGACCCTGGCCTGTCATCCTGGACCCTGGCCTCTCAATCTTGACCCTGGACTTTCGTCTCAGCCTCCACCCTAGCCTCTCAAATAGACCCTGGCCTTTCAACCTGGACCCTGGCCTCTCTGCCAGGACATTGGCCTCACAACCTTGGCCCTGGCATCTTTGGCCCAACGTCCTTGATGTTTTCCCAACATCAAGGATGTTGGGAAATTTATTTGAAAAATTTAATCTTGAATAAGCCATGTTTGCTAAAATACTAGAACTTCTTGCCAGTTTCTCAGACTTCTTATTGTTGCTTGCAAAAGTAATGTATAAGATGGTAATTAACTATGCCAGCTATATAATAGCATCCATATTTTGCACTCAAAAGACTAAATGGATCATATGGTTGCATTTAATGTTGATGTCTTGTAAGACCAATGGACTGAAATGTTGCCATACAATTTTTTTATGTACAAAATTTCTTCAATTTTCCATACTACTCATCTATACACTACTTGTGACCATAATCACTAGAAATTCTAAGAAAAATTTTTTTATGTGCTTTAAAAATATGGTTGTTAAAAGGTTAAGACTGTAAGCACAGTGTTATCTTAGTCTATCCCAGATGCCAAAGCTTGGGATACTTGCCCCTTCAAGTCAGAGAACTCATAATTTTGGGACTTCTGAGAACTTGTAAGGCAGGACTTCTGAGGGACCCTCTACTACTGCTGCATCCATGGGCAGTGGGCACTTACTTTGGTTGGACACTGGAAGTTCTAACCATAGTCCACATTGGTAAGGATGAGGTGCAGGTGCTGCCACTGCCACATATATATAATATAGCAGTTTCAGCATTTATTAGGCTGCAGGCTTGTCTCCTATTCTTAATGTTAGGGGCTGCGTTTAAGGCATGTTTGTTAAAATAATAGAGTTCCTTGCAAGTTTCTCGAACTTCTTATTGTAGCTTGCAAAAATAATGTATAAAATGATAATTAATTATGTCTAATAAAAGAATCAAACTAATCTCACCAACAACTTGTGGCAGTTCCACATATTTTACTTGCAAATTTAGGGATCAGCAACTGCACTTGCATGGTCCCTCATTCACTATCATAATAAGTAACCAAATTGTCATAAATACAATAAATTAACAGGGTGAAAAGAACAGAAAGAAAACATACATGCAACAATAATTAATAAGTAATTCATATAAAGATGGCAAATGGTCAAGAACCTTACAGAAACTAGGTAATAGGTCAAATATGTTCTATTCTCTAATGCTAATATTATTATTCATACTACTATACTTCACTGACAATTTTTTTGAAATCCAGTTCATTCAACTGGTCATTGGATTCAGAAACAGTCTTAGAAGCTTTTTAGAGTCTCAGAATTAAAAAAAAGTCTTTTCTTTTTGCTACTATATCTGGCTGTCTAGTGATCAAGTCAAGCATAGATTGAGCAAGCTTGGCATCCATTTGTTCATCAACTTTATTGATTGAAATTCAGTGAGTGCAGGCAGATGCAACGTCTGATTATCAAAGAAATTGGTAAATTTCTTACAATTACTGAACATAGGTATATAAGGAAACTGAGAGGGGTAATGGGGCACCCTGCAAGTGAAGAGTGGTTAAACAAAGAAACAAAAAAAAAGAGACAAAACTCATAAAAATTCCAGAAGTATGGAAAAGCAATGAGGAGGAAACAAGCTAGTTTAAGATGTTGACATGTCAAATTAACCAAATTAATTGGACTGCAAGTTGTGAAACTGTCAAACTTTGTTGACCATAGCCATGACCAGGAGTGAAAGATGGCCTGTGTGAGGACATCTCAACACCTTCAGCATCAACAACAACAATAACCAGCAATTTTAATTGAATTTTATAAAGATAATGCCAGTAATTTTTAATCACTTACTGATTATCTTGAAGGAAGAAAATAGTTGCTTTTTAACTTAACTAAAAAAAACTAGAGTATTGACCACCAAAATTCATAGTTGAAGAGCACCTTTTCTGATACTTTTTTTCCATTACTTGCTTAGTTTTGTTCTCTTGTTGTGAGTGCTTTCAAGCTTTGCAAAGAAGAAGAGCTTTTGAAATGGATCAGAATAAAAAAGGGGGTAAGTTTTCCTACATCTTAAGTCTTAATCAGTGCCCAATTGAAATTAACTTGTAATATACTAAATATTGATTTTTTTTAAAGCATGAAATTTGTATACTATGTGAATACTATGAGAAAAAAAAATTCTGTTCAATTACAAAGTAATAAAAATTAATAATAATAACACATTGAGTTCAATATGGCCCACCAGTGGGTCATTGCTGATTTCTATCTGCTGCAAAATTACCCACAGGAGGGTCTATAATAAAAAAAAAGAATAATTAAAAGAACCCAAAAATTGGTTTTATTGCCAATTTTAGCATATCCTGTTGATAATAAAATATAATAGTTTGAAATAATAGAAAATGTGCTTTACTATTTCATTTGTATACAAGAAAAATCATACCGTCAAACGGGGTAATGAGGGACGGTTTGGATTGTTTTTGTTAATAACTTCTTACCATGAAACATTTCATAAATAAGTTTGGGCTTATTTTAAAGGTCTTTGCAAGGGCTATTGTATGGCATCTGAAAAAAATCCCATATGCTATTTGTAAGGTGCTGGACGCAATATAAAAGCTGCCCAAATTTTTCTGGGAATGGACACTTGAGATAAAAATTTATAAGAAAAGGGACACTAGAAATAAAACTTGATTTTGAAATATTTGAAGCGTGCTGAGTGTACTCATCCATTACTAACAGTACTCTGAAGTCCTCCTATTCCTTTGTAGATGATGTACTGGTAAATGTAGAATAAATGACATTTTCTGTGATTTTTTCTTGTTTTTTCTTTATTGATATAATATTACCTTATACCTACATACATTATAGCATTATTGATGTGATATTACTATATCCATGGACATGCCATTGAGTATTGACAATGACCTGTTCTACTGCAAGCTTCATATCAGCAGCCATATAGCATTTCTTCTGTATCTGTAAGCTTACAGGACGGCTTGTAATTTCGAACAATTTTGATCGAGTCAAGTGATTTCACTATGACAAAAAAGATCATGAAAAATGTACCTGAACAAGGAAATAATATTTTAGTGACAACCATAATATTTTTTGGAGAAATAAATAATAGTTTAGGTTACTTACTTTTCATTCTTTGCTGCCCAGTGCTCAATTCTATCTATGACATTCTATGCACAATTTTGTGATGACTGATGATGCATTAATTTTTTGTTGAGTAAAATTTTTTTCACTGAGCGAGTTGAATGTAATCTAAATTCTTTGTTGTTAATTGATTTTTTTGTTAACTGGAGAATTTGCAAACCATGGTTCTACTGTAAATGCATTTTTAGGGGTGTCCCTTATTACCCCAGGGGGCTGTCCCTTATTACCCCATTTTGCAAAAATGGCTGCCATTTTTTTGAATGAGATATGCAATTTCTGTCAATCATGTTTTTAAGCCAACACCAGTGTGCAAATATTATGTAAGTAAAACTTTTTAATACAACAAATATTTTTTTTCATCACAGACCTTAGTAGAGGTACTTTTCCAAAATCTCACTTTTCACACTTTTTCAGAGATTTTTTAGAGGCAATAAATGTATGATTTCTTAACTTGCTTTATGCAACATAGATAGTAAAAATGTTGGACTTTATGACACTATTTTTAGTTCCGCAAAATTTTGATTAGTTGAGCTGCTACAACATTTCTACAAAAAGTCAGAGGACTGTCCCTTATTACCCCGCCCATCCCATATTACCCCGCCCATTCCTTATTACCCCGTTTGATGGTATCTGTTATTTTGAATTGGAAGGTTCAATTGGAACCCCAACAGAATTGCAGTAGCAGGAAGTCTGCAGTTTTGTGAATTGTATTCAATGTGTTGATAGATGCAGAGAGAAATTTTCCAGAGAAAATAATTTTAAAGGTTTTGCATTATCAGTGAAAAGTTATGCAAGAAATTCATCAATGACATAATTTGGAGGTAAAAACAAACATAGTGGCAAATGAGAGATATTTTTGTTACCATTTCATTTATATTTTTTTGAACTTGTTTAAAATTTCATTCAATATTTCATGCATGATGTTGCTTAAGATGGTCCACAACAATGGGGGCCAAAATTTGATTATAATTTTTCCATGCTCCTACACTATAATCCTTTTAAGGAGAGTTACTAATGTTTAAAAATTTTAAAATACCGTCAACCGGGGCTACTCGGGACAGGCGGGGTAACTTGGGACAGTCCTCCGACATGGTGTAAAACTGTTTTAGTAGCCAAACTAATTGGAATATTGCAAAATTAAATATAGTGGCATAAACGTCAACATTTTTCCTATCTATGTAGTATAAAGGAAGTTAAAAAATACTGCATTTACTAGCTTTGAAAAGTTCCTGAAAAAATGGTGAAAAACGATACTTTGAAAAGTTACTTCTGCTAAGGTCTGTAGTGAAAAAAATATATTTGCAGTATTAAAAAATTTCGCTTAGAAAAAAGTTGCAAACAAGTGTCAGCGTGAAAACTTTATTTGCGGAATTTACATACCTCAATCGAAAAAAAATGGCGGCCATTTCCGCACGGTTAGGGCTACTCAGGACACCCCCACGGGGCTATTTGGGACACCCCCAAAAACGGATTGACAGTAGAACCTCAGTTAGCGTAGGCTCCAGTTAGAAAAAATTGATTAAAAACAAAGAGAATTGATTACATTTACCTCGCTCAGCAAAAAAAAATTTCACTTGTCGAAAAATTAGTGCATCATCGGTCATCACAAAATTGTGCATAGATTGTAAATGCTCAATGGCATGTTCATGGATAAGGTAATATCGCATCAATAATACGGTAATTAATGTATATGGTAATATCATATAAATAAAAGAAAAAATAATAAAAATGATAAAAAAATAAAGTAAAAATCACAGAAAATGTAATTTATTCTACCTCTACATCATCTACAATGAAAGAAGAGGACTTCAGAGTACTGTTAGTAATGGATGAGTACACTCTGCATGCTTCAAATGTTTTAATATGAAGTTTTATATCAAGTGTCCCAAGTAGCCCTGTTCAGCTACTCGGGACACTTTTTTTTTTGTTGCTGGCGCCTTACAAATAGCATATGGAATTTTTTGGAGAAGCCATGTGATAGCCCTTGCAAATAGCTTTAAAATGAGCCTAAACTTGTTTATGAAATGTTTCATGGTAAGAAGTTATGATTGAAAAACATTTGAAATCTTCCTGAGTAGCCCCGGTTGACGGTATTAGAAACTCCCCATCATAGAATTCCACTCTGCTGAGACACTAGCTTCAGCATTGAACTCAAGACAGCTTTTATGTATGAAGAGATAGGTACACAAAGAATTTTATAATTAGAAAGCATAAATGTTTGAATGGTAGCATCACTACTCATACATCATCGCTACTCATTGTTATATAGTATGTACAGTGGATCAACAATGGTGATTCATTGACTTGAGAACATCATCATATCTGGCAACCGACATTTTTGATTCCTCATTGAAATAGATGACGTTTTTGGAATGTTGGGTTTATGAATGATCTTATGAAACCCAGCAATAATTTATTTTTGTTTCAGGCCATTTGAATGATTGAGCTGAGCCATGAGGGGCATAACATTTACCCTAGCATTAGAAGCATTAAAAATATGACCAATGCACCACTTCGTTGTAGATGTGAGCACATATACTCTGGTAGTGCAGGCTTGAAATGGGTACAGTGGGCAAGATAGATGTGGTTATGCATTCATTTGTTGCTTCATATGATGTAATGTCATGTAAAGCTTTACTAGTAAGAATTATTTTTAATCCTTGTGAAAATTGGTAATGGTGTCTTGTCCCAGCAATTGCTGTTTTTTTTATTTGTTTGTAATCGCTTTAACACCATCTCCATTTGTTGACTGATTTTATTTCTGACAAATTTCCAGCACCATATATGATTCAATATATTATGATTCAATTTTACTAAAACTTGAAAGAATTTAGTTGGACTACAAAAGCAACACAACTCCCTCCTGCAACTAAATATGTTATTGTACATACTTTAGTGATACTTCAAGAGAGCTTAATAGTGTTATTGTTATTCTCCATATTATAATTCATTTATATTGTTACTAGGGTTTTGTATGTGTCTCTTAGCTCAACTTTCGTGTTTTTTTATTGCCTTCGTGATGATTACTACTCATTTTGAGTTATGTGTCCTATTTCAAGATATTGAGTTTAGATATTGCAAATATTTCATTGATTTGTACTTTTGTGTTATTTATCATTCAATAAGTTCTTTCCTGTTAATTTTTGCACTTACACAAATAATTGAAAACATTAAATGGTTGTATAAAGATAATGGAATGCTAAGTATTTTTAAATTGAGCAACATCACTTTCAATGCTACAATTTAAGCATCCATGCTCCTTAAATCCAAAATTAACTTGCCTACCTATCTTTGGAACTACACTCTCGATATCAGTTTGATAATTATATACCTAGGTATAAATTTGTATTACATTGTATGTGTATATAGATATATATGTATACATGTACATTTTGCTATCCCATACTCTCATTCATTAGTCATAGCTTTTTTTATAATTTTTCATTTACCTTTTATTCAGAGAAGGATTGTTTCCATTTAGTCAATTACAGTATTTGAAAAACAGGTTTGTCTTGCCTGCAGCCACAGACCTTAGATGTGGCAACAATATCTAGTAAATTTAATCATTATGAATTACGTACTGGCATTTATATGCCTATTTTAAAGGTAAAATTTTGTTGTAATTTCCTGAATTTCCATGAATAAAATACAGAAGAGAATAACTGAATATTCAATTTGGTTGAAAGTTTTTCATCTGTACATAAAATACCACGTTACTTTAGCATTGCTTTTCAACTATAACTAATAAAAGTTACATTGCAAAACATCCTTACTGGTGTACTTATTTTCAACCTAATTGTATTGTCGTTACTGAAAATTAACCTTTTTTTTGTGTATTTAGCTATTGTTTTAGAAGTAGGAGATAAATGTTAGAACATCATTAATTATTAATAAATATTGTACTAGAAGAAGTTAGTTGGCTCCTCTCAATTCTGCCATTGATTAGCTATCAATTAATTTATTTTTCTCGTTGAGCAGGTCAAATGAGACTTTGGGGTGATAACCTTCCTGACATCACATCTCAAATTGCACCCTTGACCATAGATGTTGTGGATTTACCTTTATCAGTAAGTTAACTCCTAAATGTTTAGCCTTTGCTGGTATGTATTGGCCTAACTCTATTTAACCAGTAATCAGTTTGTATACTTCTATTATATTGTAAATGGCAAAAGATTTTGCAATTGTAATTTATCTTTTATTCCTAATTTATAGGATTTCTTGATTTTGCTTGTATTGTTCCTCTAATCAATCGTGCAATTCTGGCATTTATACTAGTTGGCCTGGAAGGGCAAATTTGAAAAGGGAAAAGTAAAAAAAAGGGGGAAAAAAAAAAGAATCCAAAAAAACCGATTAGGCCAAAAGTTGACAATTATTTGTTTGACAGCTGCATGTTTGTCGCAAATGCAAAGATTTTGCAGAAAAATCTTAAAATGTGAATCTATCCTGTTCACATTTTTTTCCAATTTTTTGGGGAGCCCAATGACTTTGGTGTCTAAATAATTGAGGTGGCACTGTATTAATCTGTGTTCATGACCATAGTATTTTGTGCCAATGTCTTCTGACTACCTATAAATAATTACCATATTATTCAACTGGCAGGCAGTTCATGATGGGATTATTTTTCATACGTCAATTAATGCAACTAATTTTTTACCAATAATCACAACAACTGCAATCAATTTCAATTTGTTTTTTAGATCATAAAAATGTTTTTGTCAATATTTTTTTATTTGAAGTTTCATTTTTCGATAGTCATTTGAAATTGAATATCAGGTTACTAAAGATGAGATAGCGGCGACGTTTTCCATTGATCACGACTGCATCACCTTGAAGCGGGAGCGTGGCAAGAAGTCTGCCTCTGCCATCATTGTTCTCCCCAGCTGGCGTGAAAGTGATGTGTGAGTTGAGAAAGCCTAATAAACTCATTGTGTAGGTAGTTTTGATGTTGTTGTGAGAAACTGCAGCAATTTCCCACTTGCCTCTCTGTCCTGCTAAAACATCAGTGTCATATTTTGGTATGCTGACAAAGGTATGGCCTCAAAGTATTAATTCTTTACTGAATGCTGAAAAAGACCTCAATTTCCCAACTGCCTTTTCTGATGCCATTACTAATTGATATAGCTTGAGTTTGAAAATAATGCCTTTTTTATTTTTGTCAGAATTTGTAGCATCAAGGAACAGATTTGAGACATTTGTTACAATATAAGAAGTTTTTCTGTATTAGTGTAGGAAGACTTCAGATTAAGTCCACACCAGTAGTGGATTTCTGGGAAAATGGAGAGGCAGCAAGAGGTTGGCTAGATGTCTCAAAAGGTGCATTTCTTCTGATGTGATGGCTGTAATATCTGCTCTAACTTGCTGTTATTTTCAGGTACAGTTCCAAATGCATGGATTTTAAAAGGCACCAAAATCATATTATTGTATGTTTAGTCACTTTGTACATAACTATATACGTACATTTGCCTTATCTTACTGATTCTACTGCATTTGGCTGACTCTTCTTGTTACCTGTTCTACCTGCAACTATCATTTCACTGATAGGCTTCTTAGTCACTTCTCAAAACTGCAAACGGCAATATTATAGAAGGTAGGTAAATTATGAGGCTGATAAAAATGAGTTTAAGGAAGATATAGTTCTATTCTAAGAGCTATGGTATTCTACGTATTGATACCCAAGACACTGATAACAAGGAGGTAAGATTATGTTTCAAGATGGCATTGAAAACATTTCTGGAAATTGTTTTAATTCATTTTATTATATAAAAATGTATTTTAATTTAAAGTTTATTGCAAATTGGTACTTCTTTTTTCAGAATTTTGTGTGATTACGTTGATGGAGTGTGCTTAGGGAATCAGAGAGCATTACTAAAGCAATCTCATGACTCGGACGCATCACAACCCTCCTCAGAGCACTACAAGCCTCATAAGCTATCTAGTGAAGAGTTTGACTTGAGCCCTGCATGCAATGGACAGCCTACACTTCATGTCCTCAATGATGACATCTTGCTTCATATTATGAAATATTTGAATGTTGCTGAGAAACTGATGCTTGAAGCAGGTAAGTTGCATGAATGAAGCTGCTTATCAGCTCAGGTATGGCAGCTGTATGGCAGCAGCTATTTTAATCGATCCATTTATTTTTATCATGTGAGTTAACTATAGTTGCTATTAAGGTAATACATTTACGTCATACATCATTATAGAAAATTTAAATTTGACTAAACAATAATGAAGAGAACGAGGAGCACGATATTTTAAATGCTACTGACAGGTGTATATCCCGTCAGTTTTTAATGATCATTTCCGTTTATTTTTTATGGTCTCAACATTTCTCTTTACATTACTACAATCTATTGAACGTGAAATAATTCCTCACTATAATCACCTGCTTTCTGTTCGGCTGAAGTTTCTATCAGACGTCGTGCAAGCAAGCTGAAGAAGCAAGCTATTACCTATTTATCAAAATTCTGCCTTTTTATAAAACTCGGTATATTTCTAGGTTCGTTCTTGTTGCAGTGTGTCGACGCTTCCAGTCTCTGGTTTACCGCGAGCTGGGCCAGAATAACGTCATAGACTTCACTGATGATGGCTGCGTCTGGCGGAGTGCTCACTCCAAGCTCTCCACATGTCGCAGGTTGGCTGTTACCGGCTTACCTTGATGGAAGTGTGCAGTGAAGTGAAGGCATCGTATTGTGATCGTATTTTTTACAAGATAGTTGCCCGCGTTCGGTTGTGGGGCTCGAAGCATTCTGACAGGATTAAAAGTAGCGGCGAACGTCCGGTGCCACTGTTATAAATATCACAGAATTTGGAATCATGTTTACATGTACATAGGCTGTGTCATCCATTCTTTCTGAAAAATTTTTGCTTGACACATATATTGCCTTGTTTTGCATTGATATTTTGTGACGACATAGCCACTTTTGTTTTGCATTCCAGCAAGTCGCCAGCCCAGCTCACGCAGGACCTCAAGCTATGCACCTATAAGATGCTCATCATGAACGCAAACCACCTCACTACTTTGAGACTCGACGAGTATCGCTGCATCTTTGATGTCAACGTATTTGCTGCTATAGGTACGCAGTTAAATTTGTCCCTGCTTCTTCCAAGTCAGACCCATAAGCTACAAATTTCAGTTACAAAACCGTCTCTGATGTTCAGATTATTTTTTACTTCATGTTGCTCCATTAAGTTCTATGTATTTTTTTGTTAGAAACTCTTAATAATGACTAGTTAAAAGATTCATATAGTCTAGTTGAGTTCGTGATCGAATGTTTTGCAATTAACTGAGAACACTAATAGTTTGAAATTTTAGGTCGACTTGCTGTGAATTTGGAGGATTTATGCCTGCAGTTCTCGTCAGAGAGAAAGCACTACACGCCAATCAAGACCATCTTCTCGCGCTGCACCAAACTCAAGACTTTTTGTCTCGAAGTGAGGATTGTGCGGCAGAGTTATCAATGCAGGGTCTTAACGATGGTGCATTGTCCTCACCCCTGTATCATGCATGGTTGTCTAATAAATGCAAGTTATCAGCACCTATATAACAAGCAGGTCTGGGTTGTTATAAAGATGCATTGTCGGAATTTATCGATCTGTACATTGACGTAATCTTGATGATCAACACACACTTCATGTGGTGGTCATTTCCTGGTCGTTAATCAAGTCAAAATGATTGCACATTTTCCCTGCGTTCTATGCGACCTGCGACTTCTATATCTTAGCGATTAGCTCAGAATGTTTTTAAAGTTTATTTTTTGAGTGGGTGTTATGATCTGCTGACAGTTTTGGGCTTCTGCTTCAGAAGAGTATTTTAACTGTATCTTCTATATTATGATTTCGATAAAATGTTGACGATAAATTTCGTTGGAAGTGTTCCGAAAATTTATTTGTTACGTTCGAGGAATACGAGTAAAGTGCCAATCAATGAATGTTTTTTCTAGGGCAGATTCGACACTGACGATTTGCTGCAAGACTTGCAGCAATGCAAATGTTTGGAAGTGTTGCGGCTGGGCAGAGTGTGGAATTTTAGCTGGGAACTTCTAAGCAAATTGAAAACTCCTCTGAAGGAGCTGTCAATCCACAACATTGAATTTTTCTATTTTAACCCTTTAATGAAGAGAGAGTGCCATCTGGACTTCGCATTCAACTCAAGCCTCACGACAATCCGCATGTTCAACCATGCGGATTCACATCCAGGGTTCGTAACGGTCATGTGAAATCGTAACATCCAGGGTTCGTACCTGTCATGGAAAACCTGGAAAGTCATGGAATTTGATTTTTAATTTTCCAGGCCTGGAAAGTCATTGGATTTCATTTCAGGTGATGGAAAGTCATAGAATTTGCGAATAAAAGAAAAAAATGAAGTATTTTCTGTGCTGCGTGTGTTTGTGTAGTCTCTCGTTTCTTGCGTTCTGATTGGTTCTTCAATCACGCGAGCTCGGTCATCATGCTCAGTTGCATTCAACTGTTTGATCTGCACCGGCAGCGTTCCATCTTCAGCGTGCAATTTCTTCATCATCATGCATGGGAAGTGTAAATTTCATGGCTTGTGGTTAAGAACAGAAGCTTATCGTGACTGGCTTGCTCGCCTTATGCTGCAATATCTTGCAAGAGCCCAAAAGCTACCAAACTCCCCCTCCTGTCTGAGCATTATTCAGCAATGGCCCACGACTGCCCGCCAGGTGAGAGTCTTTCGGCTCTCGAGCTCGCGAGATCTGTGCCCGCCTACACATTACAGTGCAAACTACACCCATTAGATTCTGCAAGACTCCTCGCTGGCTGCTCCCCCTCTCTGTGGTCTGCCCTGGCTTCATGCAGGGCAGGAAAAGTGACCACTCAACTGAAGGCATAAAATCTTTGTTTCTCTACCACGCAAATACATGCCATAGAGAGTGCATGCACATATACACCGATGGCTCTAAAGACGATGGCAGAGTGGGATGCGCCACGGTAAGCAATGCTGCGAGGAGCTCGCTGAGGCTGCATGGCTATTCGTCAATATTTACGGCAGAGCTGAACGGCATCCTATGTGCCATCGCTATTGCCTAGGAGAGCACAGACACAGAGATATGTATTTTCAGCGACTCCATGAGTGCAATCCAAGCGATCCTACATTACAATCCACCGCATTCGTTGGTAACCACCATACACAGATGGCTGATCCGACTCTCTGCACGCCAGAAGACAGTTACCTTCTGTTGGGTCCCCGGTCATGTTCGGGTGGCAGGCAACGAAGCCGCGGACGAGCTCTCACGCAATGCGGCGGCTGGAGAGACGCCGCACTGGAATGAAACTGTTCCCCATCGAGACCATTACACCATCTTCCACAAGAAACTGCTAGACGAGTGGCAAGAAGAGTGGACACACCTTGAAAGTAACAAACTCCGCAAAATTAAAGAGGACGTAAGGCCTTGGTCATCATCGTTCCACCGCGTACGCCGGGTGGAGTTATGCCTCATTCGTCTCCGCATTGGACACTCAAGAATCACTCATGGCCATCTCATGGAACGTGCACCTGCTCCTTACTGCATGGACTGCTTAGTGCCCCAGACCGTAACCCACTTCCTCTGTGAATGTCCGTCTCATGGTGTTGCCCGGCGGCAATTTTTCCCCTACCTATGACAAGACAACCCCGACGTAAACCTAAAAAGTATTTTGGGCCAACCAGAGCGAGGGAACTATAATGTTGACCGACTCGTGGAGTACTTGAGGGCAATCAATGCATTTGACTACATATGATCCGCACAACACCACACAAGTGACGTAATCTACCCCTAGCCAATAATGTCCGATGTGACTTTCGGCTCGAGATAGCTCAACCTGAAGCGCTAGCAACTACGGCCACTGGACTAACTAACTAACTGGCTTGCTCGCCATCCAAAGCATGAAGTTATGGCGATATGTAAATTGTGCTCGAAATACTTCGATGTGTCAAATATGAGGGAAGCTGCTTTGCAGTGCCATGCCAAAGGCAGCAAACGCATCAAGTTAGCTAAACAACACAGTGAAGAGTAAAGCAAAGCACAGTCACGCATTTCCGATTTGTGGTCCGTTGACAGCAATGCAACTGCAGTTTCTTGCTCCAAAAGTGTATCAGGGAATAGGCCGTCGCAAAAGCCAGCGCGCATCAGCACTGTAGTGTCTACTGCGGACTGCCACTGTGAATGTGGATACGTAGAGCATGTCTGTATCCACTGCCAAAGCCAACCCCAATGCCGAACTAACCAGCTTTGTAACAGAAGATGTTCTGACGTCTGGACAAGATGACCATCACCCAGAAGATGCTGCTAGCAGCTGACGGTGCCAAAACAGCCTACAATAATTATTTGACAGAAGAGAAAGAGCAGAATGCGAAGGCCCAGAAAACCCAGAAGAGGAAGGCTTTGTTCGATGAGCTAGATGAACTGCAGAAGAACAAAAGGCGTACGGAGGAGGGCATCAAGGCGCCTGAGCAAGCAGCAGATGAATATGAAGAAGCAATGGAGAGAGCGGGGATTTGAAAATTATCGCAAAGTTTAGCGCAATGAGGCGATCTTTGAAAACAAAGCAACAGGAGCTAGACACTCTTGAACTGAACATTAAAGAAAAAGTTGATGAAATAGCTGCATGTTGAATGTTAGGGTAGTGGTGTTGAAGAGTGTACTGAACTGTATTGACATTATCATGTACAATCTTGTTTGCATTACTCAATATTTCTTGTGATTTGAACCTGTTGAATTCATAATAATACCATTGTGGACTTGATTCTCAGATATGTGCCATTTTTTTCCTCTGTGTCTGCCTGCTCTATGCATTTACACGCTTGCTATTTGTCAACTGTAGGAGTATCAACTGTAGTCTTTCAGTCATGCTAAACCTGTCGTATACGAGTCTTGGAAAATTATATTGATGGTCATGGAGAGTCATGGAATTTTTTTTCTAAATACTGGTACGAACCCTGCACATCTGTAAGTCGAATACCGCCTAACAGATTATAGGAAAAACGGACTGAAGAAAAAACATGTTACAGGGAGACTGGGTTAAAAGAGTAATGCTTTAGAGGAAGTAATATATTGAAGGAACGTAGTTAGCATTTGGCATGGATGAAATTCTAATGGTTGATGCTCTAATGAGCGACTCAGATGAAGCTTGCTGTTTTAACTGAATATATTACATGATGAGTTGAATATTTGAGCAAGCTTGATCTGCATGGAAGCTCTATCTTTAAGTAGATGTGTTCTCGTTAGAATGCATTAGGGCAGTTTCTGACAACAAATCATGATGTATCTCATAAGGTGTTTGATTTGTAACATGAGGCAAATTTTTCTTTTAATTTTCACATCATTGCTATGATGAAAAAGGCAGAAATGTGTATGAAATGCGCATCACTACTAATGAAGCCATGGCTCATTGAAGACCTTTTAAAGCCTTTATCAGTTTTGTTTAAAATCGCCTAAATTCCGGCATATTTTCTGAATTGACTTGAAAATGCTCCAAAAATATATTAGTTAATGTTTCTTAAATTGTCCCTTGCCTTGAAGTTGAGTATAGTTGAATCAAGCTGTTTATTCTCGCGGGTCCGTAAATCAGCACGAAAATTATTTGAAGGACCTTTCCTACAATGAACGTGCTTGGCTGAACATCACGAGTAAATATCTGCATTGCATTTAATAAGGATGAGACTGCCATAGTCGAGTAATAATACTTGTTGTATTTCTTTCTTTAAGTCACTTGACTTTACGAGTGATATTTGCTGTGCTTGGCGTGCAGGGAAATTCGGCTGGGGGAAACTCTGTTGTCATTCATGGCTCACAAGTGTCCTGCGCTGACCCAACTCCAGCTTGATTGCTCCTGGTATTATGCGCCCCCCAATTTCAAGCCATTCAATAACTTGAAGGTAGGAAAATTGACCTTGTTTCAAACCTGCAAAAATTCATTGTTAAAGATTTTGGCCAAGATTTCTGTCTGAGACGCGTGTATGCAAAGATTCGTTTGATTAGTCTCAATCCCGAATCGTAATCAATCATTCTTGTGCTGGCTGATGAAATTGTTTGTTTGCCCTTTTGATGTTTCATTGAAGTGGCAAAACGGCTTTTTGTTGTTGCAGGTGCTGCACTTTATTGCTTCGGACCACGATAAAATCGAGGTTCTTCTCAAAAGCGCTCTGCCGGACCTCGAGGATCTTTACATCGAGTTCTCAAGAGAGAAAGTATATGATGTGAGCTGCTAGTCCAAGCGGACTGAAACTTCATGTGCATTGAGTGAAGGACCTTCACCTGTAAACCTCCTTCTTGATATTTTCTTTTCACTATATACACAATTGTTGCAAAGATCAGAGTTCTTAACTTCATGGTTTTGCTATTAAGACTATTTACTTATATACTTTAAATTAACCTTTTTGTTATGAAGTGATGCATGAATTCTTTCATATTAAAGTATTTATTTGTCAAGGTTTACAGTCAAAGCCTTCTAAATGCTCAACATAACTATTAGAATACTAAAAGCTGGCATACAGATACTCCAGAGCGGAAAAATTCGGGGATGAATTGAACCTGTGATGAAACAAACTCAGGCACAGGGAATCATACTTTCAGTAATTTTGCACGTTCTTGATCGAAGACTTGTGACCTAGTCTTAAATATGTCTTAATATGTTTAATAGTATCCTTTTGATTTCGGAATAATGAAGTGAATACGGGATATGCCAACTATTGATTGCATAGCATGAACTATCCATTTCCATTATTGTAATCCCTAACCTTTCGCAGGTGTTATGTTCCAGGTACGGCTTCGATGGGGAATTGATCGATTGATAGTACATATACAAGTATTTATATTAGAATGGTTCGTTAAGCTTCCCTTGTTTCAAGTGTTAATAAACCCTTCCCACACTCTTACATAATACAAATCACAGTAGTAAATATAGTTCTACTATACGCAGGCTGTTTAAATCTGCCGTTCGACTTCCTCAGAAACCTGCGATTCAGCGAACCGCGAATAACTTTCTTCGTTACTATTTCTTGAAAAGTGAGATAGTTATACAGTGGAGTGAAGAACGTGATATAGCAAGGGAGTACCATATCTTGTACACGGAACATGCTTTAATCTGCTTGTACCTGTATAATTTGGGTGCAATGTTCGTCTTGCACAGAAGAAGAAACCAATTTTGAATGACCTGCAATTCCTCTTGACTTGTTGAAATTCTCAAGTTTGAAGTTGTCCGTTAGTACGTCGAGATTGAATTTGCGTTGCATTGGCCATCTAAGGCAAATAGTATTAATCTAAAAGATACGACATTTGATTTATTTTGAACACTCGTAACATTTCTTCATTGTAAAGATTTGTGCTCTAAATGACTACGTTCAGTCTTCCATTTGTGAATACATCTTCAACTGTATATATTTTACTCTAAATGTTAGCCCTTTGCCTATTGACAGTTACGAAATCATTTGAAATCTTTTAACTGATTGTTCCATGTAAAGAGATCAATTTATCAGAGACAATAATTTTAATCATAATGCTACAAAGATGGAAAATTCAAAAAGAATACAAGTAATGAAAAATAAGGTAAATAAATAAGCTCGCATTATTAGACTTATTAGTGCAAACAGCGTTGACGAATGACTATGCAACGTCATGAGTGTTTATGCCTTGTCTGCAGACTGGTGACTCTCATTCTTAGTCCTGTCGAAAAAAATAACATTGATGACGGTCAATAGATCCGCGAAAAAAAGGTTGAATCTTTGAAATTGTTCAGGCATATTTTATGAAAAATATATTTTTGATGATTTTGTACTCATCTGCTACCTTTAAAAGTACACGATGAAAATAATTCAAATGACGGTGTAACGTCTCTGTAACCGTATCGCATGGGACAGTGCAATATTTTAATTTTATGTGAAGAAGAGACGGTGTTTCACAAATTTTCATCATAGCAATTTTCCTTAAGGAATACAGCCGTTAAACCACTTTGGACTATTTTAATAGATTCTCATCCAAGCATTACGCTGAGGACAGGAAGTCTTGAATGATTAGTTTGGCTGGGAGTTGATCCTTTATTTTCATCTGCTGATAATATTTAATTTTCTCCTCAGATGCACTTACTAAATGAAGTCTTGGCTATAGACTTTTCGCTGGCGCCGACGTCAGTGACGTCCCTGACGCTGCCGTCCGTCGCTTTGGACGATAACTCTTACAAGAACCTCCTGCGCATGCCTAAGCTGCAGCGAGTCTTTGTCAAAAGCAAGAAGTTCTCAATGGCTCAGCTTAAACTGTGAGTCTATCTCTGGTCCTCGCAAATTTGTGTGAAGTGCCGGCGTGGTTAGCTTCTTGGCTGGCACGTTTGTCGTTGTTTGGCCATGAAATGGGGCGGGTGATCGGTAGGTATTTCTGTCCCACGCTCACACGCAGAATTGTAAAACGTAGGTCTACAAAATATTATATTTTTGTAGAAGAAATTCTCAATGGCTCAGCTTAAACTGTGAGTCTATCTCTGGTCCTCGCAAATTAGTGTGAACTAAAGTGCCGGAGTAGTTAGCTTCTTGGCTGGCACGTTTGTCGTTGTTTGGCCATGAAATGGGGCGGGTGATCGGTAGGCATTTCTGTCTCACGCACTGTAGGCGCTCATGAAAGTTTGCGTAGACTCCCTCCAACACCGCACATATTGTTACTCTCTCCACACCAATCAACACCTCATATTGTTTATGAGTGACGAAGCCCACTTTCACCTAAACATAATGGTTAACCAGCAGAATTTCCATTGTTTAGCGCTAATGAGAATCCTCAACAGTTACTCGAAAGACCGCTGCACAGCCCAAAAGTAACGGTTTGGTGTGCTGTATCGCAAACGTGCATCAATGGCCCTTACTTCTTTGAAGACGGTAATGGTCGTGCTGTTACTGTGAACTCAGAGCGCTAAACAGAAATGATGATCAACTTCTTTGTCCCTGAATTACGACGGCGTCGTGTTCCAACCCGACGTGTGTGGTTCCAGCAGGATGGGACGACCGCTCACACAGCCAGAGCATCAATGGACGTCATCCGCCCACTCTTCCCTGGTCGCCTTATTTCCAGGTTTGACGATGTTCGTTGGCCTCCTCGGTCCCCAGATTTATCCATATACGATTTTTTCTTATGGGGACATCTCAAGGCTACAGTATACGAAAACAAGCTCCGAACTCTGGACGAATTAAAGAACGCAATTCGCGTGGAAGTCGCGCATGTTGAGAAAACTGTGTTGGATGGAGTCTACGCGAACATTCAAGAACGCCTTCAGCACTGTATAACAATTTCGGCCACCACATGCCAGATATTATTTTTCACACTTGAAGCTAGCAGCACTCACATTTTCACGAAGCTAGAAATGCTATTTCTTTGTGAATCTGATTGCATCAATAAAGTTGTTTTTCAGTAAAAATATACAGTTTTATGACGTTTTTAAAACCGTCCGTCCTCTCTGCCGCACCCTGTATAAGTGCCACACGCATCTCACGAGTCAGTCGTAGTACTACCTCTATAAGCGTCCACTAACGTAAAGACGGCTCCGAAACTTTCCGGTTCACTAGCGAACGTGTCGATCTGGCAACGTTGTCTATTTTTGTATTAATACTTTGCTGTGCTTTACCATAAATAATTACTACTTTAGAGTTGACAAACGTTATATACCAGTTTATAAACATTTGGACAATAATCGAACCGCAATAACTTATACATTTTCCTTATCTTAAACTGGTATCGGGTGTCACTGTAAAGACATCCGGACAACTGTTCTGATGTGCATGAATATGTCTTTGTTTCAGACCACAAGCTAAACTCGTACATCTACGAGCGCGCCGGGTCGTGTCTTTTTGACAACGAGTGGCTGGACTTCGGCCACGACTTCCTCCAGCAGCTCCTGGACATTGACGAGGACGTGCCGGACGAGGGCATGTACGACGACTGGTATGACGACCACGACGACAATGGTGGGGTCTACTGGCCTTATGATGAAGAACTCGACGAAGATATGTGTACGTTCTTCGTATTTAGAGCTTGAGCTTACATAAAAAATACACAGCTTCATATTTCTAGTTGTGTGACCATTTAGTTGACCAGAGTTGTGTTTTCGACGTGGTCATGGGTGAAGCTGAGCTCATGAACAAAAATTGTAAGCTATCTTACACAATTACAATCGAATCGAGAGAATTTTTTTTCTGAAACTTGTAAATATTAGTAGATGTGACATTAGTGAATTAATTGCCTGGAAATCTTGAAAAAAATTCTTGAATATCGAAATATACACGCAATTGTTGCCAGTACTAATGCTTTAATGTGTCTGTATATTGTTTAATTTATATTATACTACATTTTATGTTCAAAGCAATTGTTGTCTTGTGTGTATTTCAACTAATCGGCTGAATTATGATTGCATCAGTTTTGCAAGACTTTCCTCAAACTCTATTACTCTAGTGCCTGATTTGCAACTTAACTTATCTTGCAGTATACGATTTGCTCTACGGTGGCCATCGTGAATACTGAGCCTCACCATTGGCTTGTGCTGCTGTGAAACGATGAGTGGAGCTGACCATCCTGCTCTGCGGTGTAGTAGCGATCTAGTCTTCTTTTGTTATGTTGCAAGCCAAAATGGCGTCATTACGTACCAAAGAAACAAGATTCAGCTTTTTTCTAGTTGGTACGTTCAAAATGATCTTTCCTATTTAGATATTGTGAGGCTATGGCTACGGATTCATAAAGGGGACATTCAGTCTGAGTATTTGTAGTTCAAAACCGCCTCATGGTATATTATGTCTCTGAACTGTTCATGTACTTGATTCAATATTCGTTCAATTTTCCTTAGTTTTGTTTTAGTGGAGTTTCTTTTGTTCTACTTCGACTAAAAATTAAGGCTGGTCTTCCAAGATATTACCTATACGCTGTCCAACCTTTGGTTCTATGCCATGACTTAATCTTGGATCGTCGCTGAGATCTGCACTATTCTCTGTCACGCGAGTGATACTCGAGACCTGGTAATCTCTGTGTTTTAACCATATTAATATGGTTTTTGCTGCAGTGGAAATCTCTTTTTTTTTGCCTCAGTGGAAATCTCTTAACTATAAGGTGTTGCAGGGTTTACTTTGAGGTATGCTTTGAGATATGAATTTTCGCAGCATTGTTTAGATGGCACAAATGGACCTTATTTTCCATTACTTGTATTCTTTTTGAATTTTCCATCTTTGTAGCATTAAAATGATTGTTTCTNAATCAGCTCTGTCTCTTATACACATCTAGATGTGTATAAGAGACAGCCTTATACCTATCCAAAAAATAAACCTGTGAAAAATATGAATACACAATAATCTTTCTAATGCCAAACTGTAACACAATTTGAAGGCTTGATTTACACAAACATTTGATAATTAAAATTTAGGACCGAGATGATTGGCAAGAGTGTTCCCTTGACTTGTCTATAAATGACAGAGCGGTGATACTCGTGGGGTAGATCAGTGACATCAGCAGATGCCAGGCAGTAGTCAGAGATAGAAAGTACAGCAGCAGGTCAGTATTGGATCATTGGAGCAATGTATGCAGCCCATATAATGCAGGACCATGCAAAACCTACTCATCCCAAAACATGCCAGGAAAACTGCTTTACATAATAAAATTACATTGAACTACACTAGACAGTCTACACATTGAATATACACTAACTATACACGTGCGATTGATGACCAGAGAATTCGTTGATTTATATTTTCAGGGAGTGGAACAATTCTTCAGATGATGGTAGATTGAAAGACAAGTTTCAGGAAATAGTTTTTGTTTATTTGCGTTTCGATTGCTACAAACATTCATTTTCAAGTTAGAAGAAGCACTAAATATTGTGGTTTTGTTGGAAATAAATACATAATACACTGGGCAGGGTGGCCCAGTGGTTAAAGTTCAGAGTACTAGGATTGGAGCAGAGAGGCGCGGGTTCGATCCAAGCTCTGTGCGCCAGTTTCTGGTCAGAATCGGCGAGGAGGCCGGGCGGTTAAGCACAGTAGAATTGTAGCAGTGAGTTGCGAGTTCGAGACCGCGAAATGCTGTGAATGTTCTGCGATGTTAAGAATCGGCGACAGGCCCACTGCCTAATAAACGCTGAAATTGCTGTTATTATTATTATAATATATGTAAATAGGATACATCAGTAAAATTTTGCACCATGCGATTCCGGTTGAAGCTACGGGCGACATCGGACGTGCGTAAGTTGGAAAAGTCAACCTTACTCCATGTCTCCATGAGTATACTTGTATACTCCAATGAGGTCCCCACGCAGACGTCGATAACTGAGGCTTGGAAGCTTCATAATTTTAAATCTCTCTTCATGGGACTTTCCCCTCAAGCCTGGAATTATCCTCGTTGCGGAACCTGCAGTGGAAACCAGCCTTGAACAGGAAACTGCCATGATCTTGAACATTAAGGACCACAGAAACTCACTCATACGGGCTATGAAATCTTCAATTGACATATTCGAATCTGAGATTCATTTGAAATTTCTGACATCAACGATCGAGGGAAGATATAGGAAGACATTCTTATTTTTGTCGATAAGTAAAGGTTATAAACTGTATTGAATGTTTATTTTTTTTCTCCTCTAGAAAAATAACCCCTCGGAAAATTTGTTGATAAGTTAAATTTATGTGACGTAAATTCTTTTTTCGTAGTTGCGGACGAAATGCAGCATCCGTTAGTGTTATCTCTTGTTTCGGTTACGGGCCCGGCCGCCCGGTTTGAGACTTTGAGCTGGAACCGTTGAGGCAAGAGGTTCCTTGTGCTGAGCTCCCGTGAAAGTAGCCGGCTTCGGCCGGCTGCTACAAAATCTTTCTCGAACTTTGAAAATGCCGTACTGTCCCGCTCCGAGTCCGAGGCGTTGAGCCGGCGGATGGCAGATGCCATGGTACAAGCTAAAGTGAAGTTTAACTTCGGACCGAGACGGACGATGCCGGTGCGTCGGCAGAAGCGGCGTAAGGGGGGCAGTTTGTCTATGTCTGATTCATTCGGGGACACCGGCTCTTCTGCGACTGCATCATCAACGCTTCAGAAAACCTCCCATAAACAACCAAAGCATTCACAGGCCAACCCACGCCCCACATAGCCAAGCAGCCAATTGCTGATAGAGATGGTTCATTGCCAGCGCCAAACAGTTCGATGTACATTTCCAAAACCTCCAGGCTCCAAGTTCCAACATGCCAACATTAANCAATAAAGCATGTTCACCTAGGTTGCCCCGGATATAACTGTTATAGAACCATTATATAATCACTACGGAACTTATTTACTGTCTCTTATACACATCTAGATGTGTATAAGAGACCCTGTCTGAGCAGCGGCTCTTGCTTGTGGATGTTTTCTTGTGCCATGTTTGCCCTGTTTTCCACAGTTTGCATCCTGAGCCACTGTATCCACTGACCTACTATAAACAAGAATTCAGTGGTTACCTACTCAGAAGAATTTAAACACAATACAGGCTCTCAGGCCCAACGGCCGTCCTCGAGGTTGACCTGTGGCTTTAAGTCTACCCAGTGTAGACACCCCGAAAAGAAGAAGAAGAAGGTCACGGGCCCGGCCGCCCGGTATGAGACTTTGAGCTGGAACCGTTGAGGCAAGAGGTTCCTTGTGCTGAGCTCCCGTGAAAGTAACCGGCTTCGGCCGGCTGCTACGAAATCTTTCTAGAACTATCTTTCTCGAACTTTGAAAAAATGCCGTACTGTCCCGCTCCGAGGCGTTGAGCCGGCAGAAGGCGGATGCCATGGTACGAGCTAAAGTGAAGTTTAACTTCGGACCGAGACGGACGATGCCGGTGCGTCGGCAGAAGCGGCGTAAGGGGGGCAGTTCGTCTATGTCTGATTCAGACGGGGACACCGGCTCTTCTGCGACTGCATCATC